ATATATATATATTTTGTGGTCATGCTTAAGCATCTCATATGTTATAAATTCAATTTATATACTTGGAATAAGATGTTACAGGGATATCAATTTTGGACTAGAGCCGATAACAAAGGGAATTTCACCATTACAAATATTCGAACAGGAGATTATAATCTTTATGCATGGGTTCCTGGATTTATTGGGGACTACAGATTAGATGTGACAATGACTATTACTTCAGGTTGATAACTTATTGCTTTTATCTAGGTAAACACATAAAAATCTTCATAGAACTTACCAATTTCATTAATTTCTGATCAGGAAATAAAATCAATTTGGGTGACCTCGTATATGAACCTCCAAGAGATGGTCCTACTTTATGGGAAATAGGAATTCCCGATCGTTCTGCTGCTGAGTTTTTTATCCCAAAGCCTAATCCTATCTATGTCAACAAACTCTATGTTAACCATCCTGACAGGTTATACAAATTAGTTATTTTTTTCATTATCCTCTTTCATCTTAAAAATGTTACCAACATTATCCATTTGTAACTTTTTTTTATTGATTATAAGATAATAAAAGAGAAAAACCTGTTTCTAGTTACTTTGTTTTCTGCCCTCTTTATTATTTTACTGAATCTCCTAATTTTTGTTTACAGATTTAGACAATATGGTTTATGGGAGAGATATGCTGACTTGTATTCTGATAGTGATCTTATTTATTCAGTGGGTGAGAGTGACTATAAAAAAGATTGGTTTTTTGCTCATGTTACCAGGTTTCACTTCATCAAACTTATTCTGCTTATCTCAGTTTCTCTGAGATGAATTTTGTTACAAGTTTTCCCTCTAAGATTCATTCATGAAATAGCATATAATTGACTTATGAAATATTTTCTTGACATGCAAATATTTATGAAATATTTTAGTTAACAAATTTATGTATCAACTTTTTCGGTGTTGAGTGATTTTTTGACATTGGCTTGGATATACTAATTTTTGGAAAAATCCTTAGTGTAATTAATCATGGTTTAAAACCCCTAAACAATTATAGTATATGTTCAGTGATCGTAGGATATTCTTAGCAGTTATAGTATATGATTAATCCACCTTTATCAGCAATAGTATATTGGTATTATTCCATTATTCGATATTTCTTTTATGTAATTCACAAAATGAATTGGAATTAAAAATATATGATATGCATATACACCTCACCTGATATTGTTAAGCTTAAAAAATCCAGGTCCGCATTATGAATATTTGAAACAGTTGTCTATTGGGTTATTTGTAAAGAGGATTAAGTTCTTAGATCCTATTTTCTTATGTTGTTTTTTTATTATTACTATCTTGCAGGAAGACCGGAGAGAACTCCTATCAAGCAACGACATGGCAAATAAAGTTCCAAGTTGACTATGTCAATCAAACCGGAGCTTACAAACTTAGAGTAGCACTTGCCTCTGCCACAATTTCCGAATTACAAGTAATTCATAAGCCTCTTTCTTTTCTATCGATTATAAGTAATTGATATTTGTGTTGCTCTAACTATACCTATCATTTGGCCAAGGTTCGTTTTAATGATGCAACAGTAAATCCTCCTCACTTTACAACAAGGCTAATTGGTAGAGACAACTCGATTGCAAGACATGGAATTCATGGATTATATTGGTTATTCAATATCGATGTGCAAAGTACATGGCTTATTCAAGGTGATAATACAATCTATTTAACTCAGACCAAGAGTGCAAGCCCTTTTCAAGGAATCATGTATGATTATATCCGCATGGAAGGCCCTCCAGGACAATAATATAAACAAAGTGGACAAGTCATGCACTAGCTAACATCTTACTGTTGCTTAAAAACATCTCTATGTGCAAAATGTGTGTCTCTGGGTGTCAATCTGTCGTTACAGATTGACCTTTTTATTCTTCAATGCATTGTGTGTAATTTATAACTTAATTACATCCTTGAGATGATGAATCTTTTTCTTACGTGATCAAAGGTGAAAGTGTTTTGAAGCAGGAAATATTGTCAAATGAAACTATGAATCTTCCAATTGTGACATTCTTTTTCAGTGACATCCATAATTTGATGAAAACCTGACTATTAATCCTTTTTTCCCTTTTTTTTTGAATGGAAGTTTGCTGACAAGTTCTAAAATGAATCTGGTTGTAGTTAACTAACATGATTGAAACTAATAGTGATGGGGTTGGCTCATGGTGGAACAAAATGACCCATTGTTTGGGTTAATCCATTTGGCTTGAATTCTACTTGGATCAAACAGACTGAACAAGCTTGCACTTGTTCGAATGTATGAATCATAATATTTAACTGAAATGTCTCAGAGACTTATTGCAACAGCATTCTTTGTCTTGTTTATGATATTCTCAAAGTTTTTCACATCAACATTCATATCACTCAGTTGCTGTACTTGTAGCAGCATTTCCAAATTTAAAATATAGAACAGAATTGCAGCTATTCGAGTAGGATTATGAAAAGTTGTCCTGCCCAATGCAGCAAGCTTGTTTTCCCACACATCTTGCAAGGATCACAGTCATAAAAATTCATTTGTTTATCCTGGACTCCTCTGGATTGAGAATTAAGTTTCAAAAAGGTTAAGAGGAATTAGAATTTTTTACTAAGGACGCATCATCATGATGTAATCGCCATGTTTTCATTTTTTTCATTTTTTTTCATGTGAATTGATAATATGCTCATAATTATTGTCCATGCATAAAATTTATTAAGAAATAAACTCAAATTATAAGTGAGCGAATAGAAACTATGGAGAATATAAAAGAATGGAGGGGACGAGTATATGGAGGTCTTATGATATTTGTAGGACTTAAGATTGAGAGGACATCATGTTTAGGTGTTAAACAACAGATTCCACTTCCAAATCAAAGACCAAAGATCATCTCTAAAGCAATACACATAAAAAATTCCACCAACTTAAACATTAATAGAGAATCAAAGACAGATAATAGGTCATACAAACATTATGTTCCATATTTTAAGCAATAAACATCAACAAAATTTATGCCTTTGGTCTTGATTAATGTTCTTTTGATTGGGATTTTTAGATAAGGCATACGTAGGTAAAATGGTGTCCATACGTTTTCCCTTTGAGAGGAGGAAATTATACATGTGTCTTTTGAGTCTTCGATATTTGAAGTCTTTGGATTCGTTTTAGCACACTTTGTTCTTTACACACTCGTGACTTCATTCTCAATGTAAAAAAAGCTCCTTTTGCATGAGAAAATTAGAACAATTTGACAAACACAGACACAGCAAAATCACAAAAACAGGACAAAAAGTGAAGTGTTTGTACCTTTTCCCGCATTCGAAGAGAAAGAATATTCTTCGTAATAACTTACACTTTTGCCCAAATGACCAAAATCAAAAAAAGAAATATTATGAGATATAAGTTATTATGACCAAAATCATAATAACTTGCACCTTGAGAAATACTTTTGCTTCTCATTATACCGTTGAATCTCGAATTTTGATGATAAAGTCAATTGATTTTTATTTATCTAATCTATATGTTGAGATAAATATGACAGGCGGTAGTACCGCCCAATTATGGTGGTGGTACCGTCATGACACGGACTTAGCTGGTTTTGCCTAAGTCGTGCGGCACCCTTGCGTGTCCGTCCGCAAAGGTCAACCTCCCCAAAGACTCCCATTGTCCCTTAGGACCAACAAAAGAGAGAACGGGCAAGAGAGAATGCCTCAATCGGGATCCACAAGCAAACATCTCCGAAAAACACTTCATAGACAATGCAAATTATAAACAGACTTTACAAGCTCTGAACAGTGGCACAACAAAGGGTAAAATGGTCCATTACAGATCGAAAAGCTCTCGCACGTGTCCACATGACATAACCTTTATTTACAAGCCTAAAGAGGCCACCAACCCAACTAAAATGAGACTATTAAGCCTTCGGCCGCCCCTTTACATTCTGTATAGGGCATGAACATGCCAAAAGACACGGACACACATAAGCATTACATCCAACATCTTGTTGAGAAGTTTGTCCATGACATTCTCCCCCACTTATCCCTTCGACGTCCTCGTCGAAGCCTTTGTGAACACTACAACTCTTCGCCTTTGCTGAGTCTTCAATCTTCTACTCCAGCTGCAATGCGCCTCCTGGCTCCCAGCTGCTCTCCTCTGCTATTTTTGAGTAGTCGAACTTTGATCCGCCATGCTGCTTCAACTCACCAATGACTCTGACTCTGGTGTGGGGTTGGCTGAGTTGTATTGATCCTCGTTGATTCCTGCGGATCCACCAAATGAAGGAAAAGACCATCCTTACTGCGCTAGTCTCTCAGAAATTTCACATGCTGCTTGAACTGGATGGATGCTTGTTGGAGCTTTAATGAGCATCGTCTCGCAAACTTCTGAAGTTTTGGGTCCTTCCTCCACAAAATCTGCTCATTGACTCTTCTTTCAATTAGTTGTCACATCCAAGTAGGCTCGCATCAATTCCGCTTTCGATTGGCATTTCGTTGGGAAATGAAGCGGACAATCTACTCTCAGTAGCACTGATCACCGTTGGTGAGGATTTGACAACTATTGTCTTCCATTATCTTCGAAGGGTCTTTGAACTTGTGCAGAGCTCCTCTGCTGGATAGATAAGAGAATTGGGGTACTCGGTTTCGCCCATTCTCTTAAGAGTTGAGAAGGCAAAGGTTACTTGACTTCGCCCGCCTCCTCGAGGTTGTACTTCATGCATCGAGCTGGTTACTGGTATTCGCCTACTCTTTGCTCACACTTCTGAAGCACTTGAAGTGTTTGCACTCCTTGCATTGAGTTAGTTACTGTGATTCACCTTCTCAAAGCCATTGAACTTCTGGAATGCAGGAAGTTTCCACCCCAACTTGGAGTAATTCTCTGATAGATGAGGTCGCCTCTGGGATTGTACCGTCTTCTCCATCAACCCTGCC